GACTGGAAGACTTAACAGACTGTGCATCCATTCCCTTTACCCTCCCCTACTGGAAACCAACCCAGACAATTGTACTTGACCCCACTTCCCAGACGCGCCAGAGTAAAGATAAGCTTGGGCCTGGGATGTCTCCTCCCCCAGAGATTCCCATGGGAATTGTATGAGCCCGAGGCCAGTCACAGCTCTGGCTCTTATCTGCAGCAGGAAGGCCTCCAGCCTGGGTCTCCAGTGCTGAAATGCCATCTCACCCCTCATCCGGTCTCCAGCCTGCAGGCCAGAAGCCACCATCAGCAGCAGCATCAAATAGAACAAGAGTAATTGACATCTCTCCGGCTCCCTTGACTTTGAAAGCACACTCACCCAATACCTTCTTGACTCCTCACAGTAGCTGTGCGAGACTGGTGTCATGTACTGATTTTACAGATGAGGAAACTGAGGCTCAGAGCAGTGGAGGTAGGGATGGGGAGGGACCGGCCCACGGGTACACACCAGACAAACAGTAGACTGGCACCCAGGTCTTCTGACACCTCATCCCTTTACCTTCCCGCCGGCTCACTTCACACTGCCTCACAGTGTAGCACTACTAAGGTTTTCTTTAAAATGTCTTGATTGTCCTTGTATGCAGGACAAGGAGTGGCAAAGGCGACTGAATGCTTCTGAACTGCAGGTGAGAATCAGAAGGAGCTTCCTGGAGGATGGCTAAGCAAGGGGCACTGTAGGTGCACAGATGAGGGCACAGGCTAGAACAAAATTCCAGGCTAGTCAGTCAGGAAGATGGCTACCCCAAACACGGGCACCCTGAATCTCCCCCTGTGCCCTTACCACAGGCCTGACACTCTCATTTAAACACTTGGGTATGGCAGTGCCCTCTCTGGGCACCCCTTCTTCAAGACACAAAGCTGGGGAAAATGAAGTCCCTGCGTCCCTTATCTGAACAAACTGATCAGATCTTGTGATTCCTTGACAGGAGGTATGGGAAACCTTTGATCAATTCTACTTGTCATGTCAAAGGAAGAGGGAGGACAACTGTCACGGTAGCATAACCCACAGAAGGGCTCAGAGGTGGGAGAAGCTGACAAATGTGGGTCAGACAGGGCTACTTGCAGGACAGTGTGGAGGCAGGAAGGGCACACCAGTCTCTGAGGCTGGAGCAGACGGTGGGGGAGGGTGTTTTGGAATTGGCCCACTTTGATGCTCCAGTTAATCTAACTGGACTCCAAAATTGACTAATTCCTTCTGCCCCTCTCACTACTAATGCAGCTCCAGAATCAAACAGCACTGACCCCAAACCAGTCTCTATGTCCCACCCGGCCCCTCATTGGTCAGGCCCCCTGCAGACCAGACGGAGTCAGCTCAGGGCTAATCACTACATGGCGCTTCAAAGCCACCAAGCCAGCCCCTAATGGGGGGCAGCGGGTTTCACTTACCTTGCTTGGCCTCCTGCCCAGGGCAGATGGGATGCAGCTGGGGGAAGCCTGGCACCTCCTCTCCCCCCACCACTGTACCCAGAAACTTTTGTTGCCTTGCCCACCTCCATCACCTCCTCTCTGGTTGGACATTGGAACTGGGAGATGGGTGGGTGATTCCTCCAGAGCAGGGAAAGTGAGCACTCACTAAGCACTTGGACATTGTGCCTTGGATCGAAAGGCAAAGAGCATCCCCTGGCTTGTTTCTGCCCATCCTACTGGGGCCCCCGAGCCCAGACTCTGTGAATGCGGGCCAGGAGGGGCCATCTGAGTGGTAGCCTCCAAGGGCAGAGGGCAGCCCCTCTGACATGTAGATTCTATCTCCACAACTCATGGGGTAAAGGCTGGAGGGGTTGGGTTGGAAGGGAGCATTGCCTGGGATGGGACATGGGGTTAACATCAAAAAGTGTGGCTGTGGAGGACCTTATGGGGTACAGTGGCCACTTATGGTCCCACTGCTTCCTTCAGAGGGTCATTGGGCAAGTGGGTTAACCTCTTCAAGACTCAGTCTCTTCATCTGTAAGATGGTGATCCTCCTTCATGGGATGGCAGTGGGGATAAGGAGCTAAGGTGCATCTCCTGGGCCCTTGGTCTCAGTGGATGTGAGTTCTCATTGTCTGCTCAGAAGTGGGTTGAGGCTTCAGGCTGATTCCCCAGTGACTTAGGGGATGGGCACAAGAATTGTGAGCAATGTTCTGCAGAGGGTCCCAGATGAGAGGTCCCAAAGGAACGGTGGTAGGGGTGGGGACGGGACAGGGGGAGTGTGTACTGGAGGGGCAGGGGAGGAGGGCTGGTGAGATGAAGTGGGGAGGGGCTGACCCACACCACCGCTCCCGGCACCTCTTAGAATTGCACTGATATTCTCTGCCCTTCCCAGTCAGGGTCACCGTCAGGTCCAGGAAGCTATGGGGTGTGTGTAGTAGGGGAAAGGGGCTCTCTATACACACAGCTCTGTTGTGGAAGATGGTTCTGGGGGACCCACCAATGAAAACAGCTGCCTCCTTGGCACTGCCTACCTGACCCCTCTTGCTGGTCAGCTCCTGAGAGCCCTCTCCAAATGCCCCATCCCACACCTAAGGCTGCTAGCGCTGAGGTTTAGGCAAAAGGGGCCTGGGTCAGGAAGACATGTTTGAAAGATGCTTCTATTTGGGGCCAGGAGTCACAACAATTTGGGAGTCAAGCTGAGGCAGGAGTGGCTCCATCAGGCTCCTTATATTGTCCCAAGGAAGCAGGAGGCGCCCAAGTACCCAGCACTCATCAGGAACCAGAGCCCCTGCTGCTGCTGGTGCAGATATAGGAAGGCAGGTGGTGGGATGGGCCTGGGCCTGGTCGTGGCACTCATGGTGATGATGGTAATGGTGGTGACAATGCAGTGGTAGCCGTGGTAGTTGTGGGGATGACTGTGGGAGTGGGAATGGTGGCAGTGGTAGCTGTGGTGGTTCAGACAGTGATGCTGGTGTCATGGTGACAGTGGTCACAGCAGTGCTGGTTTGGAATAGGTGGCTGTGCTGGTGACAGTGGTGGTGATCATGGTGGTCCCATCAAAGGAGCGTCCTGATCACAGCTATGCTCTCTATGGTTTGGTCACACCCAGGTGTCACATGATAAAATAAGTCTTCATATTAAACAACTAACACACCAGAACATCAGATGCTCCATGAGGGCAGCTGCTATTGTTCACTGCTGCAACCCCAGTGCCTACATGTGTGGCATATAGTAGGTGCTCAGTAAATGTGCTGAATGATTAAAAGTAGACTAAGTCTCTTCTTGTGTTACTTCATTTGCTTACTGTGCCTGTTCAAAGTAGGACCTTTTTTCAAATTCCCATTTTATAAATGAGAAAACTGAAGCTGAGAGAGATGACATAACCTGTCTAAGATCACACAGGAGTAAGTGATGTTGTGTGTGTGTGTTGGGGGTGGTGGTTGGCATTTACAGCCAGGCCTGTATGACTCTCATTTCAGTGCTCTTTCCTCTATGCACTTCATAGCCACTCTCCCAGGCAGCACTCAGCAAATCATGGTCTTATGCTCTGGCTTAATCATAGAAATACTGCTAATAATAGTAACAACTGCTGTTTGTAATTGTTCAAGTAAGGCTTAAATGATCAAGACCATGGAAATTATTAATAACCCAGGCCCAGCCATGGTAGTGTGGGTCATATTAAATTGTGTTGAGATGGATAACCTTGGCAATAATAGTAACCAGGGTCATAAATTAATAACAGAAGTATTTAAATTAATGCCACACTGTCAATACCCTTGGCAGTAAGCAGCTCGACGTTGCTGTTAGTACTAATGTTGCCCCATCCTGCCTTCCATGACTTTAGCTGAGAGGAAAGGCAGGGCCATAAAAGCAATGGGAGGAGTCGGCTTAGAGGTAGTCCTTGTCTGGGAGGCAGGAATCCTCTGGGATTTCTGAAGAGGGGCTAGCTGCCTGGCCTCATATGCCCAGCCATGGAAGTGGTAGCTCATTCACATTCATGTTCAATGCCACAGTGATGTCTACTTATCCTTTCTGGGACTGTGCCTTGGACTTTGTTGCACTCACAGGACAGATATTTTTTCCCTGATGAGTAAATGAATTAGTTTCAGTTGAATGAAGAAATCACCTACCAACCCCTAGCATACTCTCTTCACAAGTGTGCTTGATCTCCCCCTTATTCCTGTAATGTAGGAGGGCAGTACTATTTTCTTCAAAGTCAAAACTGAGGCCCACACATGGCCAAGATCAGGGTGTAGAGATGGGCTTTGTAGACTTGGCCCCCACAGCTCTGTGTTCCAGGACCTACATGTCTGGGAACCAGGGAAGTGTGGGAACAGGTGGAGAGTAAGCATTGAGGTGGGGGTAGAGGTGAGTCCCACCAGAAGACTGGTGGCATACTTCCTGGGTTGTTGGAACCTATGAATGGGAACTGCCAAGGTATCTAAAGCATGCTGAGTGTGATCCTGGGGACACCTACATAATACGCGGTTGGGTATATGGATGTGAATCCATCCACCCATTTTTTTCAGGAAGGTGCTCATAAGCTCATGGAAACATTCATAATCAAGCAAAGGCTATATTGTTGAAGATACATTTGTGTGTTTGTATGTGGGTATACGCATGTTTGCTCATGAATGTATGTGTGCACCAGTACCAGAGACTGTAATGTGAAAGTGTGTGTGGAGGTGACTCCATGTACATGTGCATATGTGAATATGTAGGTATGTGTGTTTGAATGTTATGACCACATGTGTAATGAGTGTGCATGAGTGCATGAGTATGGCAGCGCCCCTGCATATGTCAGATGTGCAGGCTACACCAGGGCATGAGGATGATGTGGTAATATGTGATGCATAAGCACATGTATATGTGAGCTTGAGAGTCTGTGTATTCCTGTGTTTTGTATGTAGATCTGTGACCCCTCCAAAACGATTTTTTGCTGTCGGGACAGACTCTACCCTGAACGTCGCTGCTGCACACTGTTGGGACCAGGCCACCTGCTACTCCTCGCCTCCCCTTCCCCAGGCCTTAGCGAGGTAGGGATGCAGTATGGACCAGGAGATGAAGGGTGGACGGGCAGTGGGCATTCTAGCTGTTAATGGCTGGATAGGGAGCAGGGCTCCGCAGAAGAACCTGAAGCCAGAGGCAGAGGAAGATCGGTAAGAGAGGGAACCCTGCGGGGGGCCGCAACCAGAGGACCGCACTGGGGATGCCCTGCTCCCCCAGCCTACAGCATCCGGGACGGACGCTCAGTAGCGCGGGCTGGGCACTGGGGACCGGGGAAGAGGAGGGGAGAGGTTCCAAGTGCCCGGGCACCGAGAAGCAGCAGCGGGGCGCGCGGGCGCGGCTCCCCGCACGCCCTCCCTTCGCCTCCTCTCCCTTAGAGGAGGCGGTGGAGCGGGCGGGCGCGGTTCCGGGGGTGGGCGGGCTGGGCGGGGAGGAGGCGGGGCCGCCGCACTGGCTTCTCCCAGCCCCTCCTGCCCTCAGCCAGAGAGAGCGGAGCCTCGGCCAGCTCCGAGGGGCGGGCGCTGAAGCGCAGCGCAGACCTACCGGTCCGCGGAGCCGACAACTGCAAGCCGGGCGCTGCCACCGGAGGCGGACGATGGGGGCAGGTGCCGCCGCCGGCGTCGTGGACGGGCCGCGCCCGCTGCTGCTGCTGCTGCTGTTGGTCCTGGGGGTGAGTGCTAGCGGGGGCGCAGCCCGCTCCCTTTCCTGGGACCGGAACCCCCGTGGACTCAGGTTTCCTCCAGGGAAAAGAGAACTGAGCGTTGGGGTCCCAGATACTGGGAGGTGGAGGGAGGGAGAGGAGCTTCATTCCGGGATCCACGGAGGAGCGTCTAGGGTTCTCAGAGGACAGAGGCGACCCTGAGGTCCAGGATAAAGATACGCTCAAGAGGGGCGCACAGACGCGGATCCTTGGGTACCGCGGGGTGTGTGTGAAGGAGCTGGGAGGGGTCTGTTAAGAAGGGGTCCTGGGGCTCTCGGATGCCTGGGTTCTTCGGAAGAGGACGCTTGAATGCCGGGATCTCGAGGAATCTCGGATTCTGCCTGAGCATCTTGATCTCTGGAGGGTCGTGGGACGAAACTCGAGCTTTACAGAAGCAGGAGGAATGGGACGGGGACTAGAGATGAGGCACGAGCGCGGCTGGGGCGGGGAACTGGAGACGGATGGAACAATGGGGAAGAGAGTGGAGGGACTGCAGGCAAAGGGGACCCGGTATCGGACAATGAGAACCGGCCAGACAATGGCGGGGGGAGGGGAGTGGGAGGGAGAGGTTCGGGGCGCGGGGGTCGGTTGAAGAGAGAAAATGAGCTTAGGAAGGGCAGAAAAGGGTGAGGGAAGTAAAGAGATGGAAGCATAAGGAAAGAGGAGAGAGAAGGGAGAGGATCCCAAAGCTGCTGGGCGCCGTCTGCTCGCCGAGGGACAGTGGGTCCAGAAGAGAGCAGAAGCACCGACGTTTCCCGCGCCTGCCGCGCGCTCTTTCCGCGGCCTAGCCGGGCCGGGAAATTGCGGCTGGGTATGAGAGGCTGGAAAGGGAGAGCCCACTTTGCCTGGGTGGACGCGCTCGCTCCTCGGTTCCTCAGGACCTGCGCGTTCCTCCGACACGCTTATTCTCAAGAGTTGAAGCAGCGTCGTGAACCGGAAGGGACGGAGCGGGCGTCGTCGGACCGGGTCTGGCCGCTGCCACATCTCGGGGTGCAGAGCGCCGGGACGCGCAAGGCGGGGGATGTCCCGGCTGCGCTCAGCCCCGGGTCGCTCAGGCAGAGGCGGCCCCGCAGGGGGCGCTGCGACGCGAGGGCTGTGGCTTCTGCAGCTGCGGGCGAAACCTGGGCTGTGAGCCCCCCACCCTTACTCAGGCGCCCTGGTAAGTTAAACGTCCCGAGCGCTGCGCGCGCGTTCGCTGGGCTCCAGCGTCCAGGTGGGTAAGGACTGTGCCTACACCCCGCCCAGCTTTCGGTGGAGGACCTGGGCACCTAACGAGACGGAGGCGCTCGGACGCTTCGGATTCTGTCTAGCTAAAAGACAACGGGTCTTCATAAGCATCCAAGTCCCCTTCCCCCAGACACCCCCGCTCCGGTAGTTCTGATAGGATGTTCAGGAGATGTGAACTGTAGTGCGGCCACGAACGGAGTGCCCTAGAAGGCTTGGCAATGGAGGAGGTGGGCTCCATTTTCCTGCCATCTTCATCTCTCATCTGAGCACCGCGCTCCAAGTCCCCATTTTACAGATAAGGAGACTGAGGCTCTGAGAGTTTTAACGACTTGGCCGAGATCCCACAAACAAGTTGAGCCAGTGTCCTAGCTAGGCTGCCCCTCACCTGATTCTCAGCTCGGTATCCCGCATCTCCTAATGGGGCAGCCCGGCGTCCCAGCCCAGGACACGAGCTGCGTTTCTCTGCGGGCGGCGGGCTTGACACCAGCCGTAGAGTCTGGCTGGCGGAGGAAAATGAAGGCTAAGGTGGGCAGAGACCCTCTCTGTGCGCCGGCCCCGTGTGCGAAGTTCAGCGTCGGTTCTCTGGTACTGTTAGTGCCGGTGGCTTCGTGCGGGGGTTTGGAAGTGACTGCGGGCACGCTTGCTGACTAACGCCGCGGGTCACAGACGCTTCCCGGCCCCGGAGGGGTGGGGCGCAGGGGTGGGATTCGGCGGCCGGCAGTGAGGATCCCGGAGGGGCGAGGGCGTGGGTGGGATCCCGGCCGGGGCTAGCGTGTTCCGCGAGTATGCAAGAGGCGAGGAAGGAGGGGGGCAGGGGGTGGAGGGCAGGGGGCTGCGGAAGGTGGCGCCCGCCCAGAATCGGCCGCCGGCAGCCCCGGCGGCTCGCGGCGGAGCTGCTGTCTCTGGGCTGGCTCTGCGCACCGCGGCGGTCCGCGCTGCTTCCTGGGCCGCGGCGAGAGAGTGCTGAAACCAGAGCGCGTCCCGGCGGGTCGGCCGGCGGGCCGCGCCGGTAATGGAGGCACTTTGTCATTCAGACGTCTGTAACCGGAGCCACGGGGCTGGCTAATGCGCCTAATAGGGACGCAGCAAGGGCCGCAAATGGGAGGAGGCAAGCGGCCAGGCTGGGCAGGCGGCTCCGAAAGGGAAGGGGTCCCCACCCGACTGTACGGCTCTGTCCCGTTCACGCGCCTAGATTCTTCTCTAGGGGTGCGAGGTGGAAAGGCGAGAATAATAAAATTGGTTGAGTGCTTACTTTGTGCCACGAACTGTCCTGGGTAATTTCTCTTGTGTTATTTAATCCTACAAATTCCCAGCAGAGTAAATCTAGTTATTCCCATTTTACAGGTGAGGAAGCCGAACCTCTCAGACCTTTAGGCACAAAACCCCCCAGTTAGTAACTAAAATCCCCTTGTTGGAACCCAGGATGCTTGTCTTGGAGCTTATTCTCTCGGATGTATGCGCCCCCTCCCCAACACCCCAGCCTTCTAGATCCTGTAGGGACACGGGGCCCTGAACCAACACTAGCCCTGAAAATTAGAAACTAGATCCGTCTTCTATGCCCACAAATTTGGTACCTAGCCCCTCCTTCCAAAACCCGCCGCGGCCCTTCCCTCGGATCCGGCAGCATCATCCACAGTGATTAGCCCCTGCCTCCTACTCCAAACTCAACCCCTGTCTAAACGGATGGGGAGGTATGTGCCAGTGCTGCCCTGGACTGGCATCCACCCCAAAAAGACCCTCCGCATATTTGAAAATTCCCCAACCCCGTGGCAGTGGCTAATTGCTACATTTACCTAAGGAACCCTTTGCTGAAGCTGTTGTGGTTAGGACTCATCACACTGAAGCATTCATACAAATTCTTTCAACTATTTTGGTGTGGTTTCTATTTTGTCCAAAGTTTTTAAAAAGTTAATATTCTCAAAAGTCAGTTCATCTTAGGGTATATATTCCACCTTAGTTCTTGAAAGCCTTGACATGGCAAAAAGATTGCAAACATTCTTGAAAATGGGATGAAATCATTCCATCAAATTGGAAATGAGTAAGTGTAATAAATGGAAATTTCAGGCAAATGTGTCTATCATTTTGGTAAGTTGATCATTTTGGAGCACTATGCCTGAATCCTAGTCATCCCTCTCTGCTTCCCAGATTGCCCCACTTTGGACCAATAGAGGATGTGGCAGGGGCCATGCATCAGGCCACTTAACAGAATCGCCTCTGTGGGCTTCACTTTCCCCACCTGTCAGAGGGGAAGAGGGCAATCTCCCAAGGCTTCCCCCTCAGCATTTTGGCTTCCAGGGTAGCTCTCCCTCATAGGACTGTGACTCTTTCCCCAGGGGTAAGGGACCATGTCTCATTGGAAACTCTTAGTTTAATGCTCAGTAAATGGTTGTTGAATTAGTTAAGGAGAGCAATTCCTATCTTCTTTGGTCCCCACACCTTCTTTAGACTCTTTCTGATGGGTAAGTCTTTCTTCATATTTATCCTGTCCCCAGCTCTTCAGTGATTTCCTCTCTTTGGCTTTAGCTAACCTCTCCCCACCCCAACATCTCCTGCCCAGGCTCACAGCTCTCCCTAAGACAAGACACTTACTTGATAAGTAACATTTACTGAACTCATACTATACACCAGACTTGCATAAATTATTTAAGTTTCACAGCAACCCTGAGCAATAGACATTGCCAACCCAATATTTTAGGTGAGAACACTGAGGCTTCGAGAGATTGGGAATTTACCCAAAATTGTATACCATTAAGTAGCAGATCTGGGTAAAACAGGAAACAAAACAAGCGCAGGAAACTCATGACTCCAAATGCAAGACCAGGAGAAGAGAGAGAGCCACAGGCTGCGGCAGGGAGAGCAGGTTTTAAGGAAGAGGGGCTGACACAAGGCTGCCACGGCAGACACGGCCACCATAGACAGACACCCCTCAGCTAGCAGGGGCCCAGGTCTCTACTGACCTCAACTAACTGGAACATAGCCAAAAGTCACAAAAGAAATAAGACCTTGGAAAAGAGATAACAGGGGTCTCAAAGTGCATAAACACCTTCCTCATCCATTTAATACCTACAGCAACTCTACGAGGCAGGTAACATCATGCATCCCTAAAGATAAAGAAATGGAGGCACAGAGGAATTCAAAACCTGTCCCAGCTCACCCAGCTCTAAGTGCTGAGCCAGGATTCAGAGTGATGGGGGCAGCAGAGGAGGAAGGCAGTAGAGCTCACACTTTTTACTCAGCGAATTGCCCCCTCCTGGTTCAGGTCCTATTTATACTCACTTTATACACCTTTCCTACCAAGGCCAGTTACATAGTTCCTCAAAATTCAGTTAGATCTAATAAATTGGAACAGTCAGAAGGAGATGCTCAGGTCACAATCTGGTAGCAGCAAAAATTGACAACTGATATCCTGACAGGAAGGGAGGAGAAAGAAAACCTATTTTCATAAAGAAACTGACAGGAGAATGCAGAGACAGAAGTGAGGTAATTTGGGATAAGGAATACAAGAGCTTTACTGCATTGCAGCCCAGAATTATCACTGGTGTAAATTTTGAGTCCCTGAGTCTTGGGGAAACTGTGAAGGTATGTTCCAGAGTCAGAGAAGGGTGCAGCCACCATAGTTAAAATGAAAAACATTAGGTGATTAGAACAGCAAATCCTTGACTTTTAGGAAAGTCAGCCATCCAGAAAGTCATTCCCCCCAGAGTTATAGTTAATTAAGGCCGTATCATATTGTCATGTTTGTGAATTCCATAAATATACATGTTGGGTCCCTACTAGGTGCTAGCTACTGTGTCAGGCACTGGAGCAACCACATCCTGCCCTCAGTAGCTGAGAGTCCAGTGGCGGACTCTGTCACATGTCAGACCAGAACAGCACGGTGAACAGGGAGAACACAAGACACGGCAGCTCGGCAGCTCGGCAGCTCGGGTTGATCTGGGAGGGGTGGGGCCACCGGACAGCTCCCATGGGGAAGTGACATTCAAGCAGAGCCCTAAAGCATGAAAAGAAACCTGAACAGATCCTTCTGGAATCTTGCTCATCTCCTGGGGAAAAGCCTGCATCTGGGACTGCCCTCCATTCCCCCCCAGCCGCAAGGCTTCTGGTCTGCAGATGTTCCCAGCAGTGTGTTCTTGCCACCTGGGAGATGATAACACCCAAAGTTCCCCTCCTACAGCTGCCTTCCTCACCTCCTGCTGGTCTCTTGAGGACCACAGGCTGCTACCTAGACTGATCCAATCCATCCACTCCTGCCTCCACCAAACCCTGCTGAGATTGCAGTATATTTTTAAAGGACCAGAGGAAAGGGAGTGTTCTTGGCCAGATGGTGGCCAGGAAGAAAACAGAGGAATGCCCAAAATGACCTTCCACACTCTCTTCTGGCCTCACGATCCAAGAGCCCATACTTCCTCTCAGCATCAAATGGGAGCTGCATGGTCTGGGGCCAGGGAAATAGGCTTTGGAATTTTATTAGACATGATTTTTTTTTTTTTAAACAGAAATACAAAGCAAGCTGCCAGCAGCCCCTCCCTCTAGGGAATCCGGTGCTAAATCATTCCATCCCTGAGCAGAGATGCCTCCACCGCAGGAATCTGACTCCCCTTTCCCCTGGTTCCAACGCTGTTCCCAGTGGCTGCATGGGGGGCAGGGAGAGGGGAAGTCTGGTGGCTGGAAATCAAATCCTGGGGGAGCAGGGCTGCTGGGTGGTGAGAGCAGCCACTTTCTCATCATTGATACCAGGCGCCCCTTCTCCCATCTTGGCTCCAGACTCTTGCCAATTGGCTAGTCTTTTGCTCTCACCCTGGGCTGTAGACATTTCTAATTGTACAGAAAAACAGAGACTCAGAGAGAGAAAGCAGGGCAGGCAGAGCCAGAGTTTAGCCCAAGACCCCACCCCTCTGCCTTGTGTTCTAGAGTACAGACACCTCTCGTGTGATATTTGATGTGTGGAATAGTAGAATTAAGGACCTGGATTAGGACCCTGCTAGCCTTTGTGAGAGGAGAGAACTCTCTTTGAGTAGATGCAGCCTTGCAGGTGTGTGACTTAGCAAGTGGTGTTTGGGCTAGATTTCAGCTTCTAGTTGCCCCCTTGGCTGGAACCCCTGTTCAAGCTGCAACGTGTACAGCCATTCGTGGTGTTCCTGCCTGAGGGCCCCCTGATGGGCCTCGGGCCCCCTTCCCCTTGTAGTATATCCTTGGGACTCCAGGAGTTGCTGTAACCCCGAGATGAACATTGCAGAAGATCAGCATCCCAGGTTCTGACCTCGCACCCCCAGTAGCCTGCAGGGGCGCACTATCCCCCACGGCCTTTCTTGATGCGCCTAATGCCTCCCTGGTGAGCGCATCTTGGCCCAGGTGGTTCCAATGGAAGGCCTTAGGAGACTGGTGTTTGACCCCTCAGAAGGCAACCCCTCTTTCTCTTGCTAGTCTGACCCTCTGATCTCCCCGACGCAGGTGTCCCTCGGAGGTGCCAAGGAGGCCTGCTCCTCGGGCCTGTACACCCACAGTGGAGAGTGCTGCAAAGCCTGCAATCTGGGCGAGGGGGTGGCCCAGCCTTGTGGAGCCAACCAGACCATGTGTGAGCCCTGTCTTGACAGTGAGTACAGGCTGGCAGGTGGAAGAGGGGAGAGGAAGGGAAGCAGGGGGCACTGGGGAGAAGCATGCCCAGAAGAGGGCTTACAAATGCTCTGCCTCTTGGCAGGGTCTCCTGCCCACCATTGTATGGGCACCAGAAGTGGATCTGACCCAGTATAGGAGGCAGAGAGGGGAAGCTGAGAGTGGATAAGGAAAGTATACAGAGGGAAGAGGGGGACCTGATGGGGCATCCCAAGGGGTGCCCCTTCCCAGCCCCCAAGCAAAGAGGCCTGGTAGAAGTGTGGGGCCAGGTTGGGAGGAGCCGCCAATGTTAGCACCAGCTAAAAATACCATCTGCACTGCAAAATCAATGGCTGCCACTTACCCTTGGTGTGTTTGGGGGAGGGAAGGAGGATCAAATCCTGGCTGCCCTGGAGACTGACCTTGGGGGAATCCTGAGAGGGTGTGGCTACCCCTCCCGCAGGCCAACTGTTCTGAGGCTCTGACCAAGAAAGCGGAACTTTCAGGAGCCAGCAGGGATGGGGTTGGAGTCCTACAAGGATGTCCTTACTGTGGGGTGATACCAGGTCTAGGAGGGGGAGGGATGTTGTGACCATTCCTACCCTAGGACTTCCTTGGGGAGAGGAGAGAACTCTGTCTTCCAGGGTGGTTGGTTGAGGAAGGCAGAAGGAGTTTGGGGGAGGGGAGATGTTGGATCTGAATTCTGTGTGCTTTTGAGTCTGGAGTCTCATCTCTGCTGTATGCCTCCAGCCTCAGTGGCTGCCTGCAGGCCTTGGGCTCAGTGCCCTTTCCTGACTCTGCCCAGAGACCTTTCCAACCTGCCTAGAGTTAGAGCCTGCCTTCTGCCTGGCACTCAGTGCCCATCTGGAGGGCTGGAGGGAACCATAATCAGATTATTTAGTTCGAGGGTACAAGGAACTGAGAACTCTGAAACCACCTACCCTTTTGTTACCAACCCCCTCCCCACCCCACCCCCACACATGCAGAGCCTATCTGTGCTTCAGGTAAACCCAACTCCTCGGTGTCCCCAAACACACTGCTCCTCTTTCTGCTTACGGATTCCGTAACTTCATCCACCAGCAGAGAGATACCTGGGCTTGGGTGGAGAAGCTGGGTATCCTGTATTGCCCTTGCCTCCTTGCCATCCAGCCACCTGCCCTGGCCTAACGGTTTCCATCCCAGGGCAGGATTGCTCAGCCATCAGTACCCTGGGACCTCCCAAGTCTGCCTCTCTCATTTCCTAGACTGCAGCCCAGGGCCTCTCCTCCCTGGACCCTAAGTATCCCAGGATGGGACCCCACTGCCTGCTGTGAAGGTACAGGGTGGGGTAGAAGAGCCTGGGAGAAGGAGGTTCTAGCACCTCCCAGGAAGGGGAGGGGAAACAGGAGCAGAGACCAGCTTGTAAGTGGTGGTAGGGACCCCCCATTCTCTCCCACCGTCCCCCTCCCTTTCCTTACGTTCTCCTCCCTGCCTCAGCTGCTTTAACAGACTGCCTTTACAAGCCCGCTTTATAGGATGGAGACCCCAGCGGACTTTCTCTCTATCCTCAAAACATTCCCACAAGGAAACCCATTAAGCTTTTGCCTTCATTCTCTGCCAGAAAAGACCACATTTTCCCCACCCACTAAAACCCTCTCCCAGGAGTTTTCTGCTAATTTTCTGTATTTTCCCATGGGCAGGGCCCTCCCCTTCTCTTTCAGTGTAACTGGACCCGCCCTCCTGCCACATGCTAACCAGATAAGACCCTCCTGTTTGTATAAATTGGACAGCCTGCCTTGGCTGTTTATGCTTGGCAATCCTTTCTGCTGTCTAGCTGTATCCCTGCTACCAAAGATCACTGAATGTATTGTTGCCGACCCCATGGGGCCCAACCTTCATGGCATCCCTGCTGTGCATCAAGTGCTTTATGGTGGAATTTCATTTATTCCTTACCACAACACTGAGTGGTGATATTATTCCCTATTTTACAGAGAAAGAAAGAAAGAAAAAGCTCAGAGAGGTTAAGTAAAGCACCCCACACAGCTAGTAAATGATGGAAGCTAGATTTTGAGCCCACATAGCTCTGCCTGATCCCTAGGAAGAGAAATATGGGTCCCTCTGCCAGAACTGAGTCTGTCATTTCCTTCCATCCCCCCACTCCTGCCCCTTTTCACTTTTCTCCGGGTTTTCCTTTTTGGCTTCTCCATTTCCACCCCCACCCCCCACAACCCCAACCCCAAGATAATGACCCTGTGCACCATCTTGTGTCTTGATGACTTTAGAGAAGATGGAGATCAGACCCCACAGCAGGCCTCCATTTCCCTTCAATAGGACCCTAGTATCTCTCCTTCTACTTCCACCTCCCCCTGGTCTCAGGTTCCTAAATCTGTGCTCTTCCGGCCCTTGGAGCAAAGATACATCCTCATGAATTGAGACTGACAGAGTTCTCCACCCTGGATGGGAAGCCGGGAAGAGCTGGCTCTGTGCCTTCCTCCTCTTTACACCAGGAGGAGAGGATCCTGGCACTCTCTGGCATCCTTCTCCTGATTCTGAGCTCACATCCATTAAGAGAACAACATGAGCTTGAAAATCTCCCCTTTTCGCCATTTGAAAGGGCACAGGACAAAAATACAAGTCCTTCTTGCTTTCTAGCTTTAATACCTCCTGCTGTACCTGAACTTTCTTGCCAGGAGGCGCATCCCCACCCTCAAAAGCCAAGCCCTTCAGCAGTGTGGGGTAACACCATGAGTGGGAAATTCTGCTGTCTAACCCTAGTCACTCCCATTCAGGCCACACCTGAGCCCCCACCCGTGAGCAGAGGAATGGAAGGTTCGCTGAGGTGGGAGGCTCCCTAGCAACGGCCAGCCATGCCTGGGCTGGGTGCACAGCCCAGCTCCGGCCCTCGGGGAGGGCTGGGTGGGACCCACGCTCAGATTATTCCTTAATTATGCTGGGAACAAGGGTACAGGGCTGGGAACTCTCTAAGAGAATTTGCCAAGAAATTTACTGGCACCAGCTGGGTTACCCCGTGAAGACTCCGAGCCAGTGTTTCCGGGGTCTGGAGCATGGGGCGCCTCACCCAACTTCTTCCTTCCCAGCTGGCTGCCATGAGTGCTCACAGCCCCAGGATCAGGGACCCGGGGGAGGAGGCTCGGAGTCAAATACTGAGTGAGGCTGAACCGAGGGGGTCAGTACCCTGGCGGGCGATGGGAGAGGGAGGACCTCCAGCTTCCGTGTCCCAAGTGTCCAAAGGGCAGGCGACTAAATTCTGAGCACTGGGCTTCCCCGCCTGTCCATCTCCCACAGGTGTGACATTCTCTGACGTGGTGAGTGCCACTGAGCCATGTAAGCCGTGCACCGAGTGCGTGGGCCTGCAGAGCATGTCGGCGCCATGCGTGGAGGCGGATGATGCCGTGTGCCGCTGCGCCTACGGCTACTACCAGGACGAGACCACCGGCCGTTGCGAGGCCTGCCGTGTGTGCGAGGTGGGCTCGGGTCTCGTGTTCTCGTGCCAGGACAAGCAGAACACCGTGTGCGAGGAGTGTCCCGACGGCACGTACTCCGACGAGGCCAACCACGTGGACCCGTGCCTGCCCTGCACGGTGTGCGAGGACACCGAGCGCCAGCTGCGCGAGTGCACCCGCTGGGCGGACGCAGAGTGCGAGGGTGAGCGCGCCACGGGCGGGGCTGGAGGCGCGGGAAGGGCGCCCCCTGGGGGTCGAGAGGGTCAGGCCTGGGCGGCCTTGGGCCGGCGGCCACCCTCCCTGAAACTGAATCCTAACGGGGGAGATGGGTCCTGATCCTTCTCACCAAAGGGCCCCTTACACTATTTCCTTTGGGCTAAGTGTTTGGAAAGCCGTCATCCTCCTCCTGGCCACAGCTTGCATTTTACGGGGCTGTATTAATCCATAACTTCCAGCTAGGGACTAGATGGGCAGCAGATAAGAGACTTGAAGGTGGCCACCGTGTCTGGATCAGAGAGCAGGACATGTGTGATCCCTGAGACAGGCTTTCTGAAGTGGAGAAGGGGCTTAAGGACCTGCAGGAGTTGGGACGCTTTGGCTCAGAGGCCTGGTCTAGGTCTGGCATGGTTTATGGCTCTGGGACCTAGGATGGAACCCATCCTGTCACTTACCATCTGAGTGATGTTAGGGAGGTCTCTCCTGTCTCTGGACCTCAGGTTCCTGATTGATCACATGGTTTCCAGGTTGCTGTGGTTAGAGAAAGCAGCTGGCCCAATTCAACTGGTGATATCTGAGGGAAGGGTCAACTGTCATGGATACAGCTTAGTCAAGGTTGATACTGAACCCAGGGAGCACTACGGAGGTTGAGGGGACAGAGGCCCTGGGAGAGGGGAAGAAGGGGCCTGGCAGGCCTGGGCTTGGGAGCCCAAGGAGAGGCAGGGTACCCGTGGAGGGCTCTCAGCCCCCTGGAGAGGAGAGGAGCTGGTGTGCCTACCTTAGCCAGGCACAGGGCCTCAGGAAATGGGGCAGTCCCTGGGATGGGGAGAGGACGCACTGTGGCAGCCAGGCTGAACTGTTTTGGTCTCGGGTTGCTGGCATCCATCTATGGGGAGATTGGTGGGCTTTCCTACTGCAGGGAGAAGTTGACAGTGCCTTTATTTTCTGTCCCTTACCCTGTGGCCTGGTGCCCACTTAGCTGTTTTCCTTTGGCATGTAACTGTCAGGGTGCCCTCCTTCTGAGCAGGCCCCAAGTTTGATGGAGAGAGACAGCCTTTGCCCCAGTCTGATGAAGGACACATGGTCCCAGCACTTTGTTCCCAGGAGATCCCCCATTCTGGTGGAGGCATTACAACTTCTGCCTTTGGTCAGACCCCAGTCAGATGGGGGAGATAGACTCCGCACTGTGCAGAGCCTTCAGTCTGACCCAGGCTCCCACCCTAAGCCTTCCTTCTGGGTCCTGTGATCTCTGGCTCAGGGAGCTGAGGACAGAGAGGGCTGTTAAGCTGGGCTGTGGCCAGGTATGTGAAACCTCCTGCACTGGGGTGGGGGTTGGGGGGAGAGGAGTGGGACACAGAACATGGTAGTGGCACTTGCCCTGGGCCAGGAGACAGGCAAGTGGCGTCAAGTGCAGGGCAGAGCAGGAAGGGAGTTTCAGTAACTGGCAGCAGGCAGGCAGCACAGTTCATGGGCAAGTCCAGACCAGCTGCTGGGGGACTTAGCTGGGTGTGGTTAGAGCAAAGAAAGGTGGTGGGTCAGGGAGGGTGGGCTCTGCCTTTTGAGGCATTCTCAGATTCCTCCCAGATACCACCCCACTTACCCAGCCACCCTCTTACCCTCTCCACTGTAGCCTCTGAAGGGTTAAATGTCAGCTGGGGCAGAGGGAACTTTTCAGGAAATGGAGTTTGATTCATGGTTTGGTTGCCCCCCTCCCTTCCCATGCATTGTACTTTCCTGCAGATACATTTCAGGTGTGACACAGTGATTCACCCACCCTCGGGGCAGAAGGTGCCCCCACTGCTCCAGTGAAGTTTGGGTTTAGGAAGAGTAACCTGGTCCCTGTTTCCACCCCCAAGTCTGACAGCTCCCATTCCGGAAACAGCTGTCAGGACCCACCAAAGGCTTAGCGGGTTGAAATGCTAGTGGACATGGCCACATCTGGATCTTATCCCCCCGCCTCTCATCAGAGGAGATTGTTGAGATGAGGAGAGAGCATTCCGCACGGCATTGTCTTCAGCCTCGTCTGTTCTTACCCCCCTCTCTGCCCTTCCCCACTGCCCTCCGATCTCCCTGACGGCCTGATCTACCAACACCCACTCCACACCTTCAGCCTCTGGGGTGGGGTCAGCCCAAGCCGAGCTGTATCATCCTCAGGGCACAGGCTGCCCCTCAGCTCACCCAGTCCCCTAGCAGGGCAAGAGAAGACCCTTCCAGTTCAACACCTTGTCTGGGGCTGCAGAAGACAGGGCTGTGTCCCCTCCACTTCCCGCCTACCTCCTCCACCTCTCCCAGGACTGAGATGGGGAAGGGTGAGGCAGGGCAGCAGATGGCAGCCTCCTCCCCAGTGCCAGCCAGATGGATTCCAGATTCACATCTGGGGGCCTCACCCCTCAGAAAGTGCTGAAAATGGGGGGCTTTGAAGC